GCCTGAGTGTTAGCATTTTGAACCTGTATGTTCTCAAAACCACGGCCGCTTTGTTTCCCACAACAGTGTTTAAAGTGTTGAAACGGGGCGGCCGTATGCAAAACTGTAGTCGGTAACCCACGGCAACAGTTCTCTCTACCCAAGGGGATGGTGCGCATGCGCGCCAGAGAGAGAGCCGTGTCGTTAGGCGACCGACTTGTGTTAGCGAAGTCCTGCTGCTCTCCGTCATGTGAGAGAGGCGCAGCATTATATGACTGTCGCTCAAAATTTTTCTGATTTGTTTGTTTTTTTGTTTTTGGGGTGTTTCCTTTATTAACACACTCAAATTTACACAATTTTGTACATTTTGTACATTTTGAACATTTAGCGCACCCAAACTGGGGGCTTCTGGTGCAAACACTGTGTGTGTGGGGTGGGACTGGTGCTTGGGAGACTGTGATATAGAAACGCAGCGCCTCTTGGGACTGGTTTCTTGAACAGAACAAACAAAATGTCGCTTGGGCGGCAGCCGAAAACAGGCGAACATGTCTCCCTGGTCCTGAAGTCCCTGCAGTGACTGTCCCACGGTTAGGAGGACTGCGTCTTCTTCCTCCGCGGCGTCGCGCCTTTTTGAGCACCCGGAGGGGGGGGGCCCTTGCTCCAAGCCGACTGGCGGGGGGGTTGGCCGTGGTGATGAGGCTGCGGTGGTTGGGAGCCTAAGCTCCCGGGCAGCACCGTTCTCTTCGCCGGAGGCGGCTGTGCAGCCGGCTTCTGAGTGCTGGTCTTGGGTTTCGAGTCCCGTCTGGGGATGATGCAGCGCAGAGCTTCTGCCTGCTTCTTCCTCAGCTCGAACTTTGCYTGGATGACGTCGAGAGACTGGCCGAATAGCCCGGCCGCCATAACTGGTTCATCCAGGTATGTGGCCCGGTCTCTGTCGGGGACATCAGAGAGTGTCAACCACAAATGTCTCTGAGCCACCACGGTTGAAGCCATACCTCTGCCCAGGGAGAGTGCTACGCCGCGGGACGCACGGAGGATGTAGTCCGCGGTGAGTCGGATCTCGTTAAGGAGAGGCAGCAGGGGACTCCGAGCTCCGCCAGAGCCATAGCCTGGTAAGTCTGGAGCATGCTGATGGAGCTCAGGCCGCGAGCGGCGGTGGCCTGAGCTTTGTAGATTTTTTCAAGCTGCGCAGCAGAAAATCTACACGGCTTGGAAGGCAGCGTGGTGGGCCCGCTCACACCATGGTTGTGAGATGGGGCCAGATAAGCTGCTAGGGACGGCTCCATGGGGGGCATGTTTACCAGTCCAGCCTTTTCAGCTCCTTCCAAGTCCAAATACGGTCCATAGCCGGGCACTGTGACGCGGGTGGACAGAGGTTTGGTCCAGCAGGACGTTAGCTCCGAGACAAAGTCTGGGATCATGGGGAGGCGGTTTTTCACCGTGGTCGGTTCAGTGGGGAGAAAAAAAAACAGCGAACCGCGACGGTTTTTGTGCAGGAGGTGGAGC